TTCACCTTGAACAGGAGCACACAATGAATGCTTTCTTTTGTGTTAAAAAATCGGCTGCCAACAACTACAGGGGAACTGACAAAGGATTTTTTAAAAAGCCTATATTGGGAAGTCATGAACGTCCCCTAGTCCTACAGGGTTCTTAGCTCCTGTGCTCAGCTGATAGCCCTTGGCTCACTTCTGAGGGGTACGGGGTAGCCGGGGTCTTCCCACCTTTAGTGCTAAGAATGGGGCTCGCTGACCCCACCCCTGTCCTGGCACAGTCAAGTGGGAAGGCACAGTCACCCGTTCCTTCCTCTCGGGCCCTGGGCCTGATGTGTCCAGAAGACTGAAGACATACACACGGCCAGTCAGCACACGAGAAGGTGCTCAGCGTCCCAGCCACAGGGAAATGACGTCAGAACCACAGTGAGCCACCGCTGCACACCCCCAGGAGGGATATTGTAAACACAAAACAAAACCCAGAAAATAACAAGCGTGGATGAGGGAGTGGAGAAATGGGAGCCCTCGTGCACTGCTGGAGGAATGTAAAATGGTGTAGCTGCCACGGAAAACAGTAGGGCGTTTCCTCAAAAACTTAAAAAAAAGAGCTGCCATGTGATCCAGCAACGCAGCTTCTCCTTGTCTATCTCATGGCAGAACTGTTAACAACTGCTCGACTTAGGCATGAGTTTGAACACATTTTATTTATTAGGGTACATCCTGAGCTGCTAAAACAAGGAGATCAAAAATGAAGTGGCTTAGACAGAACTTGAGCTCTGTCTCCTGAAACTGCCCAGAGGTGTGTGGACTCTGCTGCGTGAGGTCGCTCGGGGACCCAGGTCTGTCTGGTCCTCTTGTCTGTTGTCCTGTGCAGACGGTGTTGCCTCGTCTGCATGGCAGAAGCCGGTTCACTGCCATACCCACGCTCCCTGCCACAAGAGGAGAGGGAGACAAGGAGGGAGTCCACGAGGGCAGCTGCGTCTTTCCAGAGTGGCCGGAAGTTGCACACACGCCGTCTGCTCACTTCCCACTGGCCCAAATTGAGGCACGCGGCCACGCCTGGCTGCCGAGGAGGCTCAGAAGCACAGCCTCTAGCTGTGGCCCATGTCCAGCTAAACTTCAGGAAGCTGAAGTAACTAAACTAAATCTCTATTTGTTATACATTGTATAGCGCATACAAGGTATTAGCACAGTAATATATATGTATAATTTATAAATACACTAATATACATATCTAGGGGCACATGCTAAACTTCAACAAACAGGAACAGATGATCAAAGAATATTTGGAGACACCAGCCCCCAGGAAGTAGGATAAAGGCCGGGTACTTAGTGTGTCACTCAGGCTTTGCCTAACCAACCCCTTCTACCTCATCCCCCGGATGCCTGGAATGCCTGGGGCGAACAAAGTGTTCTAAAATTGCCTGGTGATGGTTGTACAACTCTGTGACTACACTAAAAACCATTGAATTGTACACTTTAAATGGGTGACTCTCATAGTACATGAATTAGCTCTCAAATAAGGCTGCTAAAGAATGATTACATCATCTAAATTGATTGCCTTTGAAAGATGTTCACGATCTCTTAGGAACTGGTTCCACCACAAATGATGTGTGATCCTACTTGTGTTTTTTAAGAAGCATATACACTTATACATAGGAAAAATATCTGTAAATACATACCCGAAAATGTTAACAGTGGTTATCTATAGGTGGTGAGATTATAGATGATTTCTTTAAAACATATTTTTCCATATTTTCTAAATGTTTTACAATAAGCATGGGATGCTTTTGTATTAAAAAATAATAGGCCGGGTGTGGTGGCTCACGCCTGTAATCCTAGCACTCTGGGAGGCCGAGGTGAGAGGATTGCTTGAACTCAGGAGTTTGAGACCTGCCTGAGCAAGAGTAAGACTCCATCTCTACCAAAAATAGAAAAAATTAGCTGGGTAACTAAAAATAGAAACAAAAAATTAGCTGGGCCTGGTGGTGAGTGCCTGCAGTCCCAGCTACTCGGGAGGCTGAGGCAGAAGGATCGTTTGAGCCCAGGAGTTTAAGGTTACTGTGAGCTAGGCTGAGCCACGGCACTCTAACCTGGGCAACAGAACAAGACTGTCTCAGAAAAAAATTAAAAAATTAAAATAAATAAATTTAGCAGTCTACTCTATTTTAAGAATATTTATCATAAATGGTCATTGATGTAATCACAGAAAGAACAGCAGGCACGCAGGCTGAAGGCAAGTAGATCACTCACCACATGCATCTCGAGGTCCTTAGACCTCCCGTGATCTCATGATGTTTCTGCGTCCACAAGAGCTGCGGCAGTCGTGTGCCCTGTTTCAGCAGCCTGCTCAGGACAGAGGCTACCGCTCCCAGGGTCACTTAGTGACTTGAGGAGAAGGTGTTTTGTTCATAAACAACAGTGGACGTTCCTAGAGTCCTGGCACATCTGTGATGACTAATGTAAAGTGGTGCCATGAACTAAATGCTACCATCATGACCCCATTTGTCTAAATCCTTAAGCCTGAGTGACAGGGGCTGAGGACATCGCCTTCAACACAGAGCCCAGTTCCATAGAGAAACTAAATCAATAACAGCCTCACTTGAGGATAATCCAATTTCAAGCCCTCAAAATATTTGAGTATGGTTTCTGATATCAAGGCTGCGGTCCCCAAGAGAGTAAACTCATTCATGGGCTCAGACTCCACAGGCATTCAGGCAAACCACATACACTGGAACTCGGGGACGAGCTCTCCCTAACAGTCAGAGGCCGAGGCTGCGTTGCCAGGCTGGGGCAAGCAACCCACAGTGCGCCGCCCATGGGCGTCTCTCCCACATTCCACAGAACGGCTTGGTCTGTATGTGGAGCAGCCATAGAGCCTCGGGGCACCTCTCTGATCCCGGGAGGTCCCAGGGTTCACAGTGACCCAGTACAGAGCAGAGGAGGAAGCGTGAGGAAGCTGGACCGCATGAACACTAGCTTGGGTAGAGAGGATAAAGTAACAAATGAATAGTCTTCAATAAACCAGTCGGTGAAAGCAATTGGTGGCCCCTTTCCACACCGGAGACAAGCAACACAGAACTCCCTAAAATATTGTTACAAGGTAGGCACCTGTGCCTAACGGGTGTTACAACGGAAAGAAGTACCCGGTGGTCTACATGGCAGGCAGAACGGCAGGAGAAAAAAGATAAATCTGAATAGACCTTAGACCCCAGCAGACTTCTGTGATGTCAGGAGTCTACAGGCAGCAGCTTGATAGGTCATCTAGGAGCTTCCGCCTTCTGCTCCCTGGGTCTCCCATACCCGAACAACACGGGTGTTAAAGCTGATGTGCTGAAGAGAAGCTGCCCACATCTGCTGGTGTTTCATAACTGAATCCACGACGTGCCTCCATCTCGGGGCCAAGGCCGAGATGCAGATGAATCTCCATCAGGCGAACAGCTTGATTTGCATCAGTGCTCCTCCATGTGCATGTGTGGGACAGGAAGCTGGTGGCGGGGCAGGGGAACACAGCACAGGCAAGAGTCTCAGTCAGACAGCATTCCATTGTACAGATGGACCACCACTCATCTCACCAGTTTCTTACTGGTGGAAGGTTGGGCAGCTTTTTATTTTCTTCCTATTACAGTTAAGTCTTCTGTTTTACTGTGACAAAATGTAGTGTGTATAATCTTCATGAACTTACGCAAGATGGTCTGCAGACGGTGACCAAGACCCCAGTTACAACATTCCTTGAAGTCAAAATTGCTTTGAATCCTTGGGAACAAAGTCTATAATGGTTTACCAGGGCTTAGAGAGGAACATACATGCAGAAGGTAAAGGCCTGACTCTGCTCCACCCGGAACAAAGGGAGGGCGAACATGGAGCTCTCCAGTCCTCTCACTCCCGTGCTGTGCACCGTGCTCAAGAAATAAGTCAGATTGTTGTGAATTTTGCCCTCTAAAATGAACTTGGAGAAATATTCATACCTCAGGAAGATTACTTTTTTTTAACTTCTGACATATAGCCACAAACCTTAACAAGGACGATGCCACACACAGTGGCATTTCATATCGCCATATCGTATGTGTGACCCAAGGTTCCTAGGCCTGTAGGGTCTCTTGGCGGAGAGTTGCTGTTTAGAGCACAAACTTCCTCTCTCAGCCTCTGCTCACCTGCAGAGGAAAAGACCACACACCCTTTCTCTCTTGTTGGAGAACATTTTAAATAATACAGATCTTGCTCAGCACGACGTGGGTTTTCAACGGGCACGGGCCTCCCCTTGCAGGATGGGACACGTGGCAAGCAGGACAGACACACTGTACACACCAGATGAAACGACCTTTCCCAGCTTAGTGCCATCTCTTTTATTTTTTCCGGAGCGGCTTTGATGGTTTGCTTCCCAAAGGCGAGACCATTAGCAACCAGAGGAAATTACTGCATGAATGAAACGTTCGTCCTTTGCATTTTCAGGGAGGATCTCACGACACACACGGTGTGTGAACCACTCCGGCAGGTGGGCCCCAGGGTGCGCCTGCCCACGACGGCGGCACCAGGGCCCGGCTCCTCAGCCCCGCGGGCGGGCGGCCACCAGGGCGAGCGCGTCCACGGCAGGGCGGGCAGGCAGGGCTGGGGCTGCGCCGCGGCCGCGGTGGCGGCTGGGGGCTGGGGAAAGCCCGCTCGCCCGCTCCACCCTCCCTCCGCCATCCTCTCTCTGCCATCCTCCCTCTCTCGGCCCCGTCGTCCTCCCTCAGCCCCGCAGTCCTCCCTCAGCCCGGCCGTGCGGCAGAGCGAGCAGGCCGGCGGTGGCGCGTGTCACGTCATATGGGCCGCCCGCCTCCCATTGGCTGCGGCCGCCTCACCAGACCGAGTGCGGACGGGCGCGCGGGAGGGGCGGGGCGACCCGAGGCCACGCCCTCAGGCGGCGCGCGCGGGCGGCGGGTAGGCCGGGCCGGGTCACGTGGCGCGGGGCCCTGGCCTGCTATATAAGCCCGCGCGCCCTCCCAGCGCCACGGCAGCTGCTGGGGCCGTCCCGGGCCGCGACTCCTCCTCCTCCCGCCGCCCCGCCTCTGCTCGGCCAGCCCGCGGGCGGGCTTCTTGGCCAGGTAGGCTCGGGACGCAGCGTGAACCCTTCGGGGGCGGGCGGAGGTCTGAGGGGCGTGGGCGGGGGTACCCCCGGGCTGTGGGGCGCGCGGTCCCGGGAGCTGTGGGCGCGGGGCTGGGGTCCCGCCAGCGTGGCCCCGGCTCTTTGTCTCCCGGGAGGACTCCTGCTGACCGCGCCCCCCCTCCGCAGGGACGCGCTCGGCCGGCGGCCGATGCCCAGGCTGCACGACCGCTTCTGGAGCTGTCCCTGCGCGCAGCGCGCAAGGCGCGGGGGCCGCCCGCGAGCCGGCGCGGGGCTGGCGGCCAAGGGCGCAGAGATGCTCGGCTCGTCCGCGCTGGGCTCCACCCTGCCGGCGGCCCGGGACTCCCGGCCCGCGCACGGGGACCGCGGCGCCGGCACCTGGCACCACGACCTAGTGCAGCGGAGCCTCGTGCTCTTCCTGGTTGGGGTGGGCCTGGCCCTGGTGCTCAACCTGCTGCAGATCCAGAGGAACGTGACGCTCTTCCCCGAAGAGGTGATGGCCACCGTCTTCTCCTCCGCCTGGTGGGTCCCGCCCTGCTGCGGGACGGCAGCAGGTGAGTGCCCCGCACGCGCCTGCGGGAAACGTGTGTTTGGAAACATTGAAAGTGCGTCTCGGGGTGTTCAGGGCAAGGAAGAGGGTGGCGAGGACGGGAGGCCCCGCGCCCCTGGCGCAGCTCCTGGAACTTGCAGGAGCCCGTGATGGAGATGGGCAGGGAGATAACTGGCTGTCCGGCCCAGGTCCTTTCCCTCCGGAGTGGGGACAGCCCCGTGCTGTCACCCAGCAGGGCTGCCCGGGATTGGCTGCGGGAGAACTGGTGAGCGGCGAGGCCGAGTGGCCATTGGCCGCCACGGCGAACACGCTACCCTGCCGATAACCGAAAACAAATCGTCACGTGTACTCAGAGGCGGTTGCCAGGGGAGCAACTTCTCAGCACTTCCTTTTGCAGGATCGCTAAGTAAACTGTGGCCCAAAGCCAAGGCTTTTCCCCTGAACTGCTACAGCTCTGTAGATAAATTCATAAGGAAAAGACCAACCCCCTTGAGAATTTAGATTTTCCTGCACCTGACCGTTGCATAGATGCTGTAAAACCTAACACAGGTCAGCCCGAACTGGGGACAGGTAGACTGCTGTCGTGTTTTTAGTGGATTTTTTTTGTTATCATTTAGCTGGTTTTATAAAATGTTGAGTGATCTTGGCCCAGCAGGTCGCTGAATGCTTCTCTACTCACACAGCGTTTGTTTATTTAACCGACATCTGTAGGTCCTTTCTGCAGCCTCAGCTCTACAAGCTGCTGAAATTAAAAGTGAGCAGACAAGCCCCTGGCCTTAAGCATCTTAGAACCTGGTGGGGAAAACACTTATCTAAGTGACTACAGTGTGAGGAGTACCCTGTTGGCTTTGTCGCTGACGTGTGTTGACTGCTTGCCACAGCTCTGTGTGTCGCGCGCTGTTTATTCGTTTCCACACGGTGCGATAGGTCCATTTATAGATGTGGAAACTGGATCGCAGGGCAAGTCCTGTCCAAGGGTGCACAGCCAGCGTTCCTAACTGCACACTGCCCCCCTGCAGCCAGGCGTGTCCCCTGCACCGTGCAAACACTGTCACCTGGGTGGACTCACTTGAAACAGCAAGAAGGAAAAAGTCCTGTAGCAGAGAGCTGTGTGTTCCAGCCAGGACACATGTCATGTGAGGGATACTGTCATTATTAAGCAGCAGGGAGAATGTTCTCAGAAAGATGGGATCCTCTTGTATTGCTCTAAGCCCTTTGGTATGTGGCTGTACTCACTGAAAATTTTTTTGAGAAATAGATCTAGATTTGAAATTTCATTTTTCTTACATATTTGGCACAATAGTTTCTTTCTGTGAACCAAAAACTTAATCTTAAAAATGAAACATTTTGGTTTAGCCTTAAAAGATAAGATTAAGCTATAGTGAAGTTAATTTTGGAAGATTCCATTTTTCAAAACTCCAAAGTTAGAACTTGATTGAAGGTAATATAAAATTGAAAACTGAACATTTTCATCTGAATGCTTGGCTAACACTGTATTTCTTGTTTCTGGGATGAAGAGCCTAAACACTAACCTCATTTGCACTCAACCAAGGAGCGGCCACTGTGTGGCCTCTCAGAGCCTCGTCCTTGGGTGCGGTTCACACAGTGAACCTGTGCCGCAGTCCAGCCCATCAGGCCTGCGTTCCATGCACTGTGGATGTTCGGTCCTGCTGCTGTTTTACCATTTTGCTTCTGCTAGAATGCCATACCTTCCTGTCTGTCCAGGTTCTCTTGAAAACTCCATGTCTGTAAAGACTTCCTAACTATTCCAGACCCCAGTGATCTCTTCTTTCTCTTTTCCGGTTACATAATCCTCATGATTTTACACACGAGAAAACAAACATGAAGAGCCACGTCCCATCTGAGGGCAGACTGGGACTCGGGGCCAAGTTTTCTATTCTTGGTTCGGTGCTCTTTCCACAGCATGGGGCCTGCACACGGGAACCAATTAAGGAATAAGAGGAACCACCGTGGGGCTGTCCTGCCCAGCACTTCCCGTGGGTGTGCACAGCAGATGCTCATGTACTCTAGAGAACTTGCTAGAGCCCCTTGAAATCAAGTCCAGGGCCACTCCATGGGCATGTGACCCAGAACGTCAGAGTCACGTCAGCAGAAATGCAAATGTCTCATCACGCGCCAGCCCCAGTGCTGGGTGGCAGCACAGAAGTCAGAACTGTGATGGGACTTGTGTCCACAGGTGTTCGTGGACACTCACTTTTTCATTGCAAAATGGAAATCAAACTTGAAAATACTAGGTGAATTGCGTAGTTAAATTAAGTTCTGTGTACTTTAGGCAAATATGGATATTAAATGTTGTAAAATTAAGTATTACCTGTATTATTAATATGAATAATTAAACTTGCTTGATTCATTCTGTTTACTGAGACGTGTTTAAACCAAATAACAGTGCTTTTATTTTTTTTTTAACTTCTCAAAACAGTACGATTTTTGAGGGGTACTCAGAGAACAAGAATATAATGTGAGTCTTAAATATTATGTTATAGCTGATAAACTTTCTAGGAAAAGGACTGGTTTGAGTAACGTGCTACTTTTTATTAGTAGGAGCTACGTAACTATTGCTGGTGTGTTCTAACTCTGTCACCTCTTCCTGCGCAGCGGTGGTCGGCTTGCTGTACCCCTGCATCGACAGCCACCTGGGCGAGCCCCACAAGTTTAAGCGGGAGTGGGCCAGCGTCATGCGCTGCATAGCAGTCTTTGTTGGCATCAACCACGCCAGCGCCGTATCCTTGGTGTGATGTGTTGTGTCTGGAGCATTTTCTGAAGGTGTACAGTGAAGCATTTTGTTACTTTTAATGAGCATTTAGTATTTATATGATGCACTCGAATGTCATTCTGACCAGGCGTCAGGAGGCAAACGTGAAAGTAGTGCTTGTCCATTTCAAATTACTAAAAAAAGAAAGAAGAATGGGGCTACGATGACCTAATAGCAAAATATATTGTTTTATGGGCAAAATACCAGCAGAATTTTATATACAAGCTTTCAGAAAGTTACTGTTGAAGGTAAGTTTGGGCTTGGTGATGCCCAGGGAACCGATAGTCTTCGTCATCACAGCAAGTCCTTTCTCGAGCTCATGGTACAGTTCTTACGGGCAGCGAATCGTCTGTGGTACAGGAATAAAAGCCCACGTGTTTAACCCTTGGGGACTTTCTATGTCTTTGATGCTATTAAAAATTGTCGAACTTTTCCTTAACTTTTGCATCACCAGAAATTGGACTTTGCCAATAATGTCCAGCTGTCCCTGACTCTAGCAGCCCTGTCGTTGGGCCTCTGGTGGACATTTGACCGTTCACGAAGTGGCCTTGGGCTTGGCATCACCATAGCCTTTCTGGCTACTCTGATCACTCAGTTTCTCGTGTACAACGGTGTCTACCAGTAAGTGTGTGTTTTCAAATGTTGCCTTTGGAAAACTACTACTTAAGTTTTATTGAAACATCCATTAAACTTAGATATTTTCATATTTTATTTGGTTTTTATACAGAATGACATAGATTTGGGCATGAAATCCTCAAAAATGCTGCTTATTCTTAACTGACATATTAAAAATGCACTATCCATGACTTAATGTTAAAGAAAACCAAGTAGTAGCAGTAAAACATACTCACATATTAACAGTTGGCAGCATTTCATGGTTAACTGCATCCCATCTGTCCCCGGTAAAGAAAACCTTTGATGTGGGGTTGAACCGGGTGCATTTGACGCTAAGGCCCCTGTCTCCTGCTCCAGGTACACGTCCCCCGATTTCCTCTACATTCGCTCTTGGCTCCCGTGTATATTTTTCTCAGGAGGCGTCACGGTGGGAAACATAGGACGGCAGTTAGCTATGGTAAGTGAAATCGTATTATCTCCCAACACTTGAGTCTTTTTAGCTTGATATAATTACTTCAAATGATACATTAGGATTTGCGTCTATGTGTTCTAGTTCAGACTCAGGAGCAACAATTACTGAGAAAAGCATATATATTTAAAAAATAGGTAATGATACCAAGGTAATTCTTTGCTAAATTATAAAGATTCATAGGTTTGTAAACTCATAATACTCAAATTAGAAAGGAACTAGCATCTGAGTGCAGCCCCTTCGTATTGTAGATATGTCCAGTGGCTCTTCCGAGTTTGCAGAACTATTAATACTGCAGTGACTGGCAGGGAACGGTACCACAGTGGTCAAAGGGGATGGTTTGTGACTTTCTTTCCTCCTCCAGTATCAGAAACAAATCTGGATGATCTTACGCGATGACACTTTTCTTTTTAACAAGATCAGAGTGGGTGCAGCTGATGCTGGCCTCCTTGGTCCACAGTCGGGGTAATCGAGCCTGAGGCTGCGGAGACCCCATCTCAGGCCAGGGCGTGCTGTGGGCAGGCAGGGGACAGCCTGGTTCAGGCAAGCGCTGCCCTGCAGGGGCAGGTGGCCCTGGGCGGAGAGGACAATGATGAGAACGTGTGGCAGGGTTGCCATGGGGATGGGCTGCGCTACCTGCCTGGGCACGGCCCCTTAGTGCAGGAGAGAAGTGCTGTCACCCAAGGCACGGCGTTCTCAGCCGCCTCCTGAGAGGGGGAAGGCAAATGAGTTCAAGGATAATTTTAGCAATTGTTTTCAGTACTTAAAAATTGGCATCTGAACATTTTAATTAAAAAAATGTGGACTTTTAAGTGTTTCAAGTAGACTTGGACTGAAATTAGCATCTGAACACTGCGACTTAGACCAGAGGGCTTAAATAAAACGAACTTACAGCAACTGGAGCTATCGCTCTCAGAGATAAACTCTGGACCTTTCTCAGAAAACTTGTCTTGGTGCCTCATGCTGTTTTCCAACAGCACATTTCTTTTTGCCTGCTGAGAGCCATTTTTGAGGAGTTGAATTTGAAGGCTGCTTGGCTGTCTCACAAAAATGGAAGTAATTTCTAAAGTGCAGAACTACAAAGCATTCCACTGGTTGCTGAGTCTGAAGCATCTTTCTCTTTTGCTCCTGTGATGCTCTGCAGATCTGCCAGAACAAAAAGCCTCCGCAGAAAACTCGTTTCTGTGTCCCCTGATGGAGAGTCAAAGGACGTGGCTTTCTTTATGATTAGAAATCTGGTCAGTGGTCTCACGCGGAAGTGGTGTGCGGCTTTCTCCCGCGGTCAGCTCCCTCCCCTTGTAAACTTAACCGGAACAGTTTCCAAAGTAGAGCGAGGCGGCTCCCTCGGCAACTGCTTTCCTGCGCTGAGAGCTTTGTTTCAGTACTTTTTAGCAGAAAATTCCTAAGAAGGTGTTCGGAACAAAATTATCCTGAACAAGGTTGACTACTCATAAAATTAAAATTTGAGTAACATTTTTTCTGGGAGATAGATCGATGGTGTTACACATCAAGGCTTTTAAAATCAGTTTTAAGAAATAAGCATTATCTTGGTAGAGAGAGAAATTTCACCACATTCATAAGTTCTAAACATCTAGAAATAGTTGGAGAAAACGTTTTCAAAGTGCTGAACAAGTCGCATCCTTTGAAGATGGTTCTGAAGATGGTTCGGTGCAGCAGTCCGTCTGCGCTCCTTCATCCTCGCGGTGAGAGTGTGAGAGGGAGCTGAAATCGGGACAGTCGCTGCGATTATAATTCTCCCTACTTAAGCTTGCTTTTCATCCTTTCTATTCTCAAACTTGGGGAGAAAATTACATTTGGACGCTATCATCGTATCCCAGGTCTGGAGGGGAGCGATGGTCGCGGTAAGAACCGCCTTCACTGCGGGGCCGGCCGGCGAAACCGGCTCCCAGGGCTCCAGCCCAACCCCACCCACTGCAGTTTTCACCCCTGAAAATTTAAGTCCTTGCCTCTGGATCCCAGCTGTTATTTTTTCTGTTCAAAATTTGAAAACTCATTTCCATCCTTAAAACCCAGGAAATTGCTCAGTGTCTTAAAAACGGAGTCGGTCGCTGGTGCGTGTTTGTTCCTTGGGCCGCGCCCGTGGAGGTTGTGTTGACAGCGCGTCTTTCCTCCCAGCGCGACCTCCACCCTCTGCTGTTTTCACACTGCTCAGGCCGAGACTGGAGCTGGCTGGGTACGTCGGGGGTGGTGGTTAAGAGCTCCTGTGAGACCTACACCAAGTAAGGCCTAGCGGGGACTGGCACGAGTACCGGTGCTGAAAGTCTGAAGGCGAGGAGATTCAGACTCCGCTCAGCGCTGGGACCAACTCTAGCCAGATCCGGTCTCATTCAGGCCCGTGGGGTTTTGTTGTTGAAGTTTTGCCCAGTGCCTTTGGCATCCCTCTCATTCTTTGCCATCTCAGTTCCCTCAAAATGCCCCTTTTGTTGCCAGCCTGTATGTTTAAAAGAAAATAATGAGTGTGCAGCCGTCATTTACAGAATGTGTAGATGTTGCTCTTTGTGGCCTCAGTCTTAGGAGTGAGGCGTCCAGCTCCAAGAGCAGTCAAGTGGGCCAGAGCCCATCCCACTGCCAGTGCAGGTCCAGTTCACCTTTCCCATTCTGGTGGACTCAGGTCAGCTGTGCCGCTGATGACGGGACTATTGCTGCTTGAGGCTGGCGTTCGTGGAGCACTTACGGGCGTGCACGGGGCATTGTGCTGAACACATTCATTGTTCTCTAATTTAGTCCTCATAGCACAACACTTAGAAGTGGAACTGTTAGTAGCCCATTTTTAAATGGGGACATTGAACTTAGGAAGAGTAAACGACTTGCCGAGGTGGGTGGAGAGATGGAGTTGGGACCTGTCTCAGTGCGCCGAGTCTCACTCTGAACATGCCGCTCCTGTCTGTGGTTCGTCCGTGCTGCGTCCGGATTTGCTGGAGGGACCACGTTGCCGTCGGGCGGCGCTGGTGAAAGTTCTCGTGCTGGACGTCACTTCCGCCTCAGGCTGGTTGCTGCCTTGTCTCTGTGGCCATTCGTGTTCTTCCACTAAGGCCAGACCTAATTTTAGTCTGTTTATCAGCACATTGGTGAGCAGGTAGCAACATTTGATGACCAGCTGTATTTCCAGGTTGCTGGCAAGAGTTTGCTACTTTGTTTTCTCTAGTTGAAGTTTGTTCAGAACCTGCCCCCATGTTCATATTTAACAGTTTGTAATACTTTCAGATTACCGATTCTTGAAAGTATTTACGTTTCCCAGAAGGTGTTACTGTGTGTGTCCCCAGGGTAGTAATCAGCATGCCAAAACTCCTGGATGACTTCACCCAAACGGATGACTTTCTTATCTGTTTAAACGAGAAGATCTTGCGATTTCTGGATAAGCGATCTTCCTCACTGAAGACTTGAAAAGTTCAGCTCCTGCATCTCAAAGCACGCTTGCTTTAAGAGGGAGGTTAATGCAGGAAGACATTGGGTTCAGAGGAAGAAACGTGCATTGAGGTTTCTCTTCTGCCCATTCGTAGACGCTCTGCGAGCTCAGGAAAGTCATTTAATCTCTTTGGATCTGTTTCTTCACCCATGAAACATCTGTCCCATCTTGAGAATTTACCCTGCGGGGCCCGGCAGCAGTAGCAGCTGCAGCGTGTGCCCCGCAGAGCTTTCGTGAGGCTAAACGGGAAAGGACGCGCAGGAAGGTTTCCGCGCCGGAAGCTCTGTGTAGGTTTAAGGTAGAGTTGTTATTCAGTGTCATAAAACATGACCTATTTCAGTGTCTGCTTCAACAGACTCCTGGCAAGATAGGTTGTGACTCAGGTATCAGACATTCATAGAGGTTTGTGGCAGAAATCTCCCAGATAACCCGATTTTAAGAGTGTCAGTCCTTAAATTGCAGTAAGGCAGAACCTTTAGGAGTGACTGTCATCCCCCAAGAAGCATCACTGTGCTTTGATAAAATTGAGTGTTTCCGTTACATGAATGTGTAGTTACACTTTCAGCAAGATCTGACATAGCGGGCTCTACGCGGGGCAGAGTCGGCCCGCAGCCTGCGCGAGCCCTGGCTGGGGGCGCTGGGCCGCGGAGCCGTGACGCTCCGGGCTGAGCCAAGGTTCTGTCCGTATTCCTCACGCGTCCCAGTCCCGTTTCCCCAGGCACAGGAATTTGTAATCTTCACCTTTTAGGACCTATTTGATTGATGATTATTAAAATGTTTATACATGAACTGCTAATTTTCTCTTTCTTTTTTATTTTCTTTTTCCACATAGGGTGTTCCTGAAAAGCCACACAGCGACTGAGTCTCCAAACGCACCGATTCTGAAGAGTTGGCAAGATTTGGGGAGAAATCTGTGATAGTGGCTTGTGACAAAGATTCTCTTTTTTCCTAAATACTCTATTCGGATTGGGCTGACTGTGCAAACGGCTCCTGGAAAAAATATTCACCTAGTCTAGAGTAGCAAAGTGGAGAAAATAACTACTTACCTTGAAGTCTTGCCTTGACTGAGCGCCCTCACGCCTGTCTGTGCTCTGGAACATTCTGTCCCAGGCTGCGTGTAGGAGTTCAAGCAGGTGGCAGTTTCCCGAGTATTAGATTTCATTCATGTGATTAAAAACAAGTTGCCATATTTCAAAGCCTTGAACTAAGACTTAATTACCGTCAGTTTTGTGTCGCTGCCCAAAGGAGATGGGTTGATGGTGCTTAACTAAGATGCAGTGCGGAGTAATAGGAATAATATTTATCCAAAAGATTTTTTAAATAGGGTTGTGTTAAAAAAAGAAGAAGAAGAAGAAAAGCAGCAGTGAGTGTAGTGTGGTCACACTCTGGGGTGGCAGTGCTTCGTGGCCACCCGCGTGGTTAACGCTGCAGGGGTGCACACACGTGGCCATGCGTGTGCACACGTCACCAGTGAATGGACTGTGCTTTTCATTCTACCCGTGGAAGTCTGTGTAGACAATCTCACTGAGAGCAAAAGGCAATGAAAAGTCATAGTTCTACACTGTGATGTGCTGGAGTTTTCACCTCAGTTTATGAAGTTTTTTCCAAAATCCATATTATCTAAGAATGAATACCTGTCTGCCGTGTATTTCAATCTTAGTGAGCCAAATTGTTTGTTATTCCTGAACAGAGATGCCTATTTTTTTTCCACAGCCCTATGGAATTTGCAATCTGTGATTGCCTTGTAAAAAGAAGAGTGCATATGTCACTACATTGAACATGTGGTGTTTCTAAATATTCAATGATATCGGTGAGCACAATGTAGTCATTTAATGGCATAGACCATGTTAGACCTAATTTGCAAGTATTGGGTCTTAAACTTCAAGTGCAATGTATATGAAAACCAATCTGAGCCTTGTATTCTCTTAAATATTTATTTTTCTTAGCGTGTGAGATGTTCAAGAGGAGGGTTCTCCACTCATTTCAGTGCTGCATGGAGGCAGAACTCAGCAATAATTTCCTTTGGTTGTAAAGTTACTTTATCGTTTTACCCTCCACTGAGCCCTAGTCCTTTGAAATACTCCAGTTTTGTGGGTTTAGTGATTCTTACTTACAAATTTACCTTTTTGTATTTTGCAATTTAAATGTTTTTGGTTTGTTTTAAATTCTGTGAAAGTGGCTAAAGACTCCTTTTAAGTAGAAGTCACCAGTCAGCAGAATAGAAACTAGGCTCACTTGCCTGTGAGTGTCGATGTGTGTGTTTGGTTCATTTACGTGACGATCCTTTTTGGGGGTTTTTATTTTCTTTTGTTTTGAGGAAAATATCTTGGAGTAAATTTTAGGTTACTGAAGTTAATTTGTTTTAGAGGAATTTTTTAAAAAAGAAAATGGAATCATTCTGAACTTTAGAATGATCCCTTATAAATTTTCTGAAAATGTAAAGAAATGATTATTATGTTAAAAACTTTTTCAATGAAGATGTCAGCATTTTATGAAAAACCAGAAGCTATTAGATGAAAGCAGTAAGTGAATCTTTAAAATATACTTGATCATGCACAAACAATAAGTATTTTTTCTCTTAAACTGGAAGTAAATCTGTTAGAAATAATGTAGCCAAAAAATGTAAATTTGAAGGATTTTTTTTGCCAATAGTTTACAGCAAATATATGAACCAAAGTGATTTGCGTTTGTAAAAATGTAAAATAATATGAACAAAATTTGCACTATACCAGATTTGAACATCTAGTGAGTTTCACATTCATACTAAGTTTTCGACATTGTGTTCTTTTTGCATTCATTTTTTATTTTTATTAAAGATTGAAAATCAACTGTAGTGTTTATGTTTGCTTTTTACAAAAACAGATGGGGCCGTGTTTACTGTGTAGGATGTTAGAATACGTAACATCTAATGTAATGGGAAAATATTTTATAAGCTCTTTAAATTTTACTCAATTTCAACACAGGCTCTTGAGAAATATTTGGGTGCAGCCATGCCGGGTATGCAGGGGGGATCGGTTCCAGGTGCCCACGCGTCCCAAACCCACGCACACTCAAGTCCCGCAGGCGGCCCTGTGGAACGGGCGTATGCAGAAAGTCTGCCCTCCGTACACGCCAGTGTCACGTCCCGCGAATCATCTGTGTTGTAAAAAGTCCATGTGTACGTGCACCCACACCGAAGGGTCAATGTGTGTTTTCCCTGCGGTGGGAAGTTAAACGTGGCGCAAGCTAAATGGACCCTGCCACCATCCCCTCCTCCAACCGCAACCCTGTTTTTCAGGCAGGGCGAGCAGACGGGCGGGACCAGCCCCAGGGCCCCTCTTGCCCCGGCATTGCTGGAGCTGGGCCGCTGGCTGACCTGCTCTCACAGGTTATCACAGACGCTCCCAGAACATAGAGCCATGCGTGCTTACTCAACACGACTTTAGGAAAATGCACTGGCGGTTGGGAAACAGCGTTTCAGTGCTGGTACAGAAAGGCCCCGCTGCATCCCACTCAGCCCAGTGCCGTTCATGTTATAGTACAGACCCAGCCGTGGTTCCGCCGCCCCTGAAACAGAACTTTGTGCGAGAAAACTGGGAGAGCTGATGGTGCAGACGTTTCCCTCATGCGGAGACTCGAGGTTTGCCGGAGATTAATCCGGTCTATGCGGATCTAACGTAGGAGTGACTGCTCTGATCCACTGTAGATTCACGTTCTAGAATAAGTGTTGGAGGTTAAACGTTTCTGGGAATTTTTCTGGTCTTGGAGCAAGTAATTGAATTACATAATTTCATTAAAGGTAAGATACATAATTTACAAAAGATTTTCTCGTTCACTTTTCAACTGTGGGATCGAGGCTGAGTACATAGGAACTCCAGGTTGATCCCTGGATGTTTTGTTTATTTGGCTAATTGGAAGTCACCTGTGATCTTACTAAGGGAGGTTTGGGGCAGATCTGTCTCAATGAATTAGATATAATTTGGTAGCCTGGCTCTATCCCTACCCTTGAATTGTAGGCATTCCATTTATCTTGGGAATAAGAGAGGAGAGAAGGCAGATCTAAATCTTGCCTTTTCTATCCACTGCACCTGTTAAAATAGGCCTTTTACTAAGAATGTTTACTTTCTTAGAGTTTCGGATGATCTCTAGGTAATCGTGTAACTATTTAGCATATAAAGCCGTAGAGGTAGGGATATTATCTTTGAAAAGAATGTTGTAAAATATTAATGAAGATATTAAAATTCGCCTTAACATATATTATGCAATAAGAAGCCGGCCCGAAGCCGGCCCACTGCCCACTAATCTGCCATTTCCCTGCTCTTAGACTGCAGTGGGCTCATCCGCAGTAAATTAGCCACAGGAGGGATTTCATGTTGATCCCTAAATGCATCAAACTATGCAAAGAAAGATAAGAAAAAGGTGCATGAAATAGATCCAAGTCCTAATACCCAAACTTGGTGCTCTATAGATTTCTCTATAAATCTTCATAAGACTCCCCTGAAGAATTTCTTACCTGAACATAAAAACACCTAATAGTGCCTGGCACAAGGTAAGCTTTCGATAAATAGTTTCCCTTCCTCCTCCAGTTTTCTCTGGGCGAACAAATGTACTGAACTGGTGCCAGGTGTACGGCAGTTCCAGTCTGAGTTTGTACATTTCAAGACAATGGCAGCATAACGTGAAAAGTGGTTTTTCGTTACTGTTTCCATGTATTAGACACTTAATTTTTCTAAGTGCCTGGCTATCATTTTTACTAGTTCTCTACAGTTTTTTGTCATTCCATGTTCTACACATTCTCAAGTTCAGGAACAAAAAGAGACAGTAAAGAAGATGAAGTCAAAATTCCACAGAACTGAGTCCACTGAAGCAATTTCTCACTGGAACCAGCTCTTCATGCTGCGTCTGCTCTCGGGGGGGCAGGTGTTTCCTGTGAAGTTCAACAATGTGTCAGATGTCACCCTCAGCACAGTGAGCCTCCCAGACTGTGTTCAGGCTGTGGAGCACTGTCACAGGGACGCTTTGGGGACTGTCGGCCTGGTGTCCTTCTTGCAGGCTGTGACCCCCGGGAGGGGAGGAGTTGCCTCTTCTTGCTTCCTCTGCTCTGGTCCCAGCCACGGGGTCTCTGGCTCCTGATCCACAGCAGATGCTTGTTGGAAGAATGGTGGGTAGGTGAGTTCTCTCGCTCAGTCCTCAGCCATGCAGCAAGTGTCTCTGGTGCCTGCTGTATGAGAGAGGCAGACACAGGGGCTGCCACCATCCTGTCTGCTGCCAACAGCCTTTCAGTCCCCTTCTGATTTGTGATCTCCAATCTGCTGTGAATGAGAAATTGAAGTTGTTAGAATCACTCATAACATGAAAGATCTGAGCACGGACCTGAGGATTCCTCCAAGTAAAGTGGCCACGTCTTAGTGGCAGGCTTGGTTTCAAACAACAACATTGATTTGCTTTCTGTACCTGGGTCATCGTGTTGCTGCAAACATAGTCTCCATGTAAGTGAGCTGTTGCAGGACCGGGGAGTGGGGTTGGGTTTGCACTGGGCCATCCACGCCCAGTATCCTCCAGGCTGGGGGGCTGTGATTTCTGCCTACAGGCAAGACGGGTGGTGCCCACAGCCCCAGGAGGAGCTGAGCCCTGAGCACCCCTGGGCGCTGCCTCAGCGCGTGTCCTTCGAGCCTTCGGCCAGTGCCGGTGGCTTGCTGGCCCTTCTCATGAGCACACGGATGCCTCGGGATGTCTGTCTCTTTGAGAAGAATTGCTGCTCACTTTGACGAGTGATATCTTTTGCTGTCCTTCAAATTTTGTCTCATTTGCCATCAAATGCTTTCAGACCCAGCCTCATTTTCTTTCATGCCCAGGGGGCCTGCTGACCCAGCCAGTCTGCATGTTTGGCATTTTCCCTTCGTCCCGCTTCTGCACCAATCACTGTAACTGCAAAGCCCGGCCAGGGCAGGGGGTGTGAGCAGATCTCCTGAGAAAGACCCCACGGCAGGGTCGCAGCAGCCTCACTCCTAATCCCGCTTCCTACCCCCGGCTCGCACCAGGCCCGGAGAGGTGCGCGCGTCTGCGTCGATCGATCCCCTCCGAGGCCCGGCTCTCCAGCCAGTTCTGAGCCTCCCACCTCCTGTCTCACGACACGTCGCTCTCGTGTCTTCCTCGAACATCCGGCAGCTGCAGAAGCCGTCTGAAGAAAGGTCAGCGTGCCAACAAATCATCGAAAAGATCATTTCAAAGTTTCACATCCACAAGGAGAGTCTGCACGTCGTTACCTCTTGCCAGGACTAGAAACAGGTCTCGAGTCCTTTTAGAAAGCTGGGCGCATAGAAAAGTCCTTTCCTAAGGTTTCTCATAAATGAAATTATTGCGTTTCCTAAGATCCACATGCGGGTATTTGCAATTAGCCCCGTTCATTTAAAAACATTGGAAAAAATGTTACCGAGCGCTCGCTGTGGCCAGAAACTGATGCGTGTGGCCCGGTGCTGAGCAGACAGCTTCCGCACAGGAGCTGCCGGAACCCACCAGTTCCCAGGGAGATCTCGTTTATGCTGCAGACCTGAACGCCGATTCTGTTTCATCTTAGAACCTCACTCCTCCGCCATAATAGACCTTCAAGGGAAACGTATGAATGGAGAAAGGAGAGAATAAAAGAAGGGAGGGAGGGGGGAGGAGGGTTGTCTGACGTGCAGGTGGCGGGCATCATGAAACCAGCCTTCAACTTGGAATAGCCTGTGCTTTTAAGTCTAGCGCCTGAGCTGGGCACTCGGTTGTCCGTTAGGAGCACCAGAAATGACAGCTGAGGAGTCTGGCCCTCCGTGGAGCAGGAGGACGAGCAGGGAAGAGCTTCCTTTTCGTGTAGCTTGCCTCCGTGTTTAACCCAAAGGCTGGGAGTTGGTCCACAGGGGCCATGTTTCTGGGTATTCTTCACCCTGTGTTGTGGGTTAAATTACGTCCTCCCCCAAAAGAAGGTGTTCAAGTCCAGCATCGCAGAACGTGACCTTACTTGGAGATAGGGTCTTTGCAGATTTAACCAAGTTAAGACGAAGTCATTAGGGTGGCCCCTCATCCCATACAACTGGTGTCCTTGTAGAAAGGGGAAGTTTGGACGGACACGCACAAAAGGCAGACGATGCGAAGACACACAGACTCGCCGTGTGGAGACAGCGAACGGAGAGTCGCGGCTGCAAGCCGAGGGTCGCCTGAGATTGCCAGAGCCGGAGACGGGGGACGCACCCTCCCCTCGGCCTTCAGAGGGAGCTCGATGTTGGACCTCCAGCTTCAGAGCCGTGCGACAGTGACGTCTGCTGTTTAAGTTGTGCAGTCTGCGGCACTCGGTCACAGCAGCCTCGGGAGACCCGAAATGCACCGTAACTCCAGGCCCGGCTTGAGGACGGTGCGCGCCAGGAGACGCGAGACTGCTTCGCTTTGACGCTTCGAACAAAAAGAAAGCGCAGCCGCAACACCCAGCTCAGCTGAAGGAGTCTGGGGACTATCAGGAGTTCTGAGTTAATTGTCTGGAGCCTCAGAAAAGGCAGCGCGGCACCCCCAGGCTCCCAGACTCCTGCCCTGCAGCGCAGGAGGGAGGGAGGCCCAGCGGCTCAGCAGGCTTCACACGCAGCCCCGCCGAGGGCGCGAGTCCACGCGCAGGTGGCAGTGTGCTTGCGGGCCAGGCCAGGTGACAGAGATCCCTGGTAGCGACCGTGCCCGGTCATCGGGAGGAAGGTGACACGATGCTCCCTCCACGTGTTCTACATAAGGCAGGAAGAAAGATGCCAAATATTTCAGAAGCACGGGCAGTCCCAGGGTTACGGACGACCCGGCCTACGGCGTTCCGCGCTCACGCACCGGCTC